ACTGCTAATTATCATCAAGCATCTCTAAGTGTTCAAATATCTGAAGAAATCTAAAATCATGTAAGTGACCTACCAAGTAAATTCGATATAATGGAAAGATCCTTCTGTGGGATAAATTACTGACTTAAAAGGAGGTGGACTGATTTGTACTACCTCTAAAACTCTCTCATCTGGTGGATAAACCTTAATACATAGGTTTATGTTGAAAGGAATGTGCTTAATTTTATGTGAATGTGTAATTGGCAATGATTCAGATTTTTCACAAAAGCAAAATCAAATTAACTCAAACTTAGGCACTGCTCTCTCCCTCTGGCTTGGATCCCTTGCAACTTCTGCCTTCAAAGGGTTGGCCCTGAAATTTTATTTTTTGTCTCTGAGGGGTGTGATGGGAATGTGTATTATGCAATTGGTTTCTTTGCAGATCACACTCTTATCTCTCACAGGCAACAAGGAAATTATACTTCAGGGTTTATTTTTAATTAAATGCTGTAGTTGAATATTGGATTTTACAAAGGTGCTGAACAAAGACCAATGTTTTCTGTTGTAGCTTCACCTTAATTTTAAAACAGATTGATTAAACCACATTTTTTACTGTTTAAAGTGAATACAGAAATAGTTCAGTCCAATAAACTTAAACTGATGCAAGTCCCTTGCATTCACAAAATATAATAAGTATACCATGGGTGCTGGTTTTGTTTATGATTTCCTTTTTACTTCTCATCAGATATGCAATTAATAACTGACAAAGTGCATCCAATAGAAAAGGTCCTAGGAGTCAGAAGTAGAGAAAGATTTCTCTGGGGCATTCTAAGGATGACTGAGGGTTCTTGTTTTGTTGTGTTTTTTCAAGTGCCAATTGAATCCAAGAAAAAAAAAAGAAGCTATTGAGAGATCAGGTTAAAGGAGAAAACTCTTTCTGCGGGTTCTCTTAGGTAGAGAAGGACTGATGATCACTCACAGAACAGAATTTTTCCCATCATCCTTGTGGAAATCTTGCTAGTTTACTACCACCTCGTGTGCTTGGGCTTAAAAAAACCAAACAGTTATTTTAAAAGGTGCTGTTCTCTGATAAATTCACAGAGAAATAACTGTGGTAAAAAGTAACAATCATGTCGTGGATTATCTGTAATGGCTTCTTTAATAAAGGGCTTTGAGATTTAGTGACAAAAAATTACTAACTTGCCAAGATGACTGTTTCAGTCCATAAAACCAGTTCATAATGGGTTCTTTTCCAGGTGCCAATAAAGTAGTCTGTAATGGGGGTGGGTACCACAATCATGCAGCATCCCTGTAGGAATGGACTTGCAAACTGATGATGCCCTAATATTCATTGTTCACAACAGTCTTAACTTTTAGAATTTTTGAACTACAGGGGAAACCTCTCCTTCCTTCATCTCCTCTTCCTCCCACAAAGATCTCCATAAATTGAAAGCTGTTTTGAGTATCTTTGATGCTTTTTCTATTCAAGGTCATAGTCTTTTCTCGTTTTATTTACATACTCCACAAAACTGCAATTAGCTAA